TAGAAGCGAAAATTTGACGAGATAAATCAATGCGTTCAGCTCTTCTCAGACACAGAGCCATAAATTATTTTTTTCGTCCCTAATTTGACCATGTATGCATAATATCATGTAATCAATCGCTCAGTAAGCAGGAGAGTCCTAATGACGTGTGACCGACCACTCTTTGTAAGGTACTGTAGGTAAGGTATATATGGTAGACTTTAAGTCGCAGCAGAGAGCGATGGCTTACAAGTCAGAGTGTATGCATTGAGGAATGTGCTAGAGTATATCCGCAATGAAATGCGTTAGTGATTGACTGATTGAAATTGCATCCAAAGAGTGCCCACACGGTGTATGACGTACAATTTGAATTTTTTAGCTTCAGAATAACGCAGGGTAGTAACAAAGTGCAGTTGTTGCAATATTTGCAAACTGCCTTTCTCTAACGAAAATGAACGCAACGCATTTAAATATCATTTGCACGGCATTCTCTATATCAGAAAGAAAGTTGCTGCATTTTATCATCACAGTCAGTATTGCAATGTAGATTTAGCGGACGCTGATAACTCTTTATAGCTAAATAATTTAAAGTTATAAGTGATAAGGAAGTTTTAGCCTTATTTTAGCTACGAAGATAAAAAGACTGTAGCGAATACTATACGTAGTTAAGGAGTCTAAAAGTGCTATGAATCTTTTCAGTTGCCGCATATTTTACAAAATTATTACAGAGACAAGTTCATTATAATGGAGGGAGAAAAACTCTCAAATACAACATTCTCAGTATTCAGTACAAAAGTATTGTAGGGTAAATTTTTTTTTACACAAATAACAAATTGTTAGTTTTTTCGTTTGTTTTCATTGCAAATATACTGTGGAACTGTGATCTGCACTTGATAATTATTTATGTCAAATTTACATAGATCATGTAAAGCTTAAGTCTTTCTTAATTTTGCATCAGTTTATGGTAGCAAAATGCGATCACTTCAGATATGATTATATTTAAACACTCAAGAACTAGCGAAAATTAAAAAAAAAAAACATATATTTTAACAACATGATTTTATGGTTGTATTGCAAATTTTAAAAAGATTTTTGTAGGCATTTGGCTATATTTGATAGTTTAGAACACCTATTTCTTCTATACTCATATTAATCTTTTAAAACTTCATTTATAACTTATTCTTTTGCTGGTTTTTTAATAAAAGGCACATTATGTGTTCAGTTAGGAAATAACTTGCAGTTGTGCATTCCTTAAAATGATTGCTTTGTAGGCAATTAATGACAAAAAGTAATCACTCAATGATTTATTGTAACTTAAACAATTAAATATTACTCAAAGGATGCACACAAATGAAAGCAAGTGATTGCAAAGAATTGTAGAAAGAATTTTTTTGCCGAAGTGAAATTTCTCACTGGAAATAGATTACTATTGCAGTGGGATTTGTTAATTTTTGGAACCAATCGAAGTCATGACAGATCTTTATTGCTTGCGGTATCGGTTCAGAACTCAGATTCATATCAGTGAAATTGGTTTCAACATGGATAACTAATATCTAACATTTTGAAAAAACAGTGAGTTAAGTTGTTTTTTCATTTGTGAATGTGGAAAAATTTAAAAATTTTTGCAAAAATGCCAAAAAAAAGCACCACGATTCACTGTCATGTTATTAACTCTTTGCTTAGTATTAAAGCTTAAACCGATACTTTTATCAGTTTTTAGTTTCAGTAAGCATATTTTATTTTTGATTTCAGAAATCAGTAAGCTGTGTTTTTTACGTTTGAACACTTAGTTAAAAATATTCATTTAAATTAGCATTTTTAATTATCAGGGATTGTGTACGGAAGAATAAAAATGCCATTATAAAAGGCAATGTGAGAACAAATATTTAGGTGTAATATTTTTCACAAAATTTATTTTTCAATTTGAAATAGAAGAAAGAATGTACTTGTATTCTGCTAGCAATTATTGTCGAGATTGAGAAATTTCAAAGAATTTTGATTAAAGTCCCTTTTCATCTACATAATCACTATTACTAAATTAGAGGGTTTTTAATAAAAGGTGGTATAGTTTTTTTGTTTCAAAAAGTTTTTTATGTAACTCAGCAAAAATATCATGGTTTCAAAAGAAAGAACTGAACTGATTCCCACTTGCTTATAGATCTTCAGATTGTGCACAATAAAGTACGCAAAAAAGTTGGAACATGGATATATTGTGTATAAGCAATTGATTACAGATATTTATACATTTATTTTCAATACAAAATTGAATCATACCGTTCACATTCATGGATAGCAGGAGAGAATGCATAACGTAAAATCCATAAATTGCACAGTTCTGGAAACGGACTGATTTTTTATTACAGTTTACTTTTTTCTCTAAAGTAAATTTTTTTTAATTTAGAAAATATTCTACTGTGATAAAATGAACGAAGCAGAAAGGATTAAGAAATTATATTGCGGAAATGGCGATTTTTTAAGTTTGCGGAGAATTTTGATTAAAGTCACTTTCCATCTCATAATCACTATTACTAAATTAGAGGGTTTTTAATAAAAGGTAATACAGTTTTTTTGTTTCAAAAAGTTTTTTCATGTACTTGAGGTGATGTATTTTTTCGGCTTTTTTTCAATCTCTTAAGCAAATAATCAAAATGCCAAAGGTTTATTTAAAATTGCAAAAAATTTGAATTTTGGATTTTTTTTTTTGATAAAAATATGCGTAATTAGAAGTGGGATGCTAACGGCCACGTCAACTTGTGCAAAGAACAATAGTATGAGTCTACACTACATGAAATAACTTTGCTTTGCTACAAATGACAAATGTACAAATGACTTTATTCATAATTTAGAAGCAGTGCAGTTGAATATTTCAAAAGTCAATTATGGCAGATAAAATCAGAAGAAATCAAGCAAAGATACGAAAGAAGCTAGTTTGATAAACTGAGAAAGTTTTTGAGGTTACAGAATTTCTGAAATTTGTTCGGCATTTTTAATCAAAATTTAATGTCTTAATCGATAAATAAAAAATGACTCGAAGCATCGGATGTCCAAATTTATTAGAGACTTTAAATGGATTTGTTTTTTTATTTATGGCAAGAAAATAAATCACGGAATCAGAATTAGTTGTCCCAACGTTTTTTGATTTTATGTCTAAAATAAAGCGAAATTAATCAATATTGGCAAACTGAAATTTCACACATTGACCAATTTTGCAAAAAATTAAATTTTATCAAAAATGTTTTACGGCCTTCTGCCTACTAGTGTTAAGTATTCAGTATTGATGAATAAAGTCTAAGGTTAAAATTTGACGACATTTATTGATCTTTTGAGACGGAAAAGGCTTTATATGCTTTTATTTTACAATCTGCAATATAATTTATTAATTAATGAAAAAATGTCGCAAGTCGCTTGTCACGTGATTTCCGATTAAATTTAGCAAAATTTAAGACAATATGTGCGAAAATGTGCAAATGAAATTGGTGAAGAATTTTAACTTTTTGTTTTGCTATCACCGACACACCAAGTATATTCCTGTCTTATCGCAGTCAATAAGTAAATAAGTAGTAAAATAGCCACACGTATACGCACAGGCATATACACACGCATACACACACGCACATAAACGACCGTACATGCAATGATTGCATGCATGATGATTGTGATGTTAATAAAGGATACATTCAAACTACAATACTACAGTAATGCGCTTTTATGCCTTAATTATATAAAGGCTAGTATGACAATTAGAAATCCTCTCATTACAAATATAAATATTATAATGCCTAAACAAATGTGCGCAAAGTGCGCTTTTCTTTATTTTCTGTTTCATGCTTACCAATCGCTTCAAATGTAATAAAGTTCATACCATAGAAGACGATATATTACTCAAATCTGAAAAAATAAAATTAAAAATAATCAACAATCAGTTAGTATATTTTTACTGAATTAAACTGTTTTTAGAATTATTCAAATGCAAAAACAGACTGCGATTTATTCATTTTCATCATTTTAGGATCATTTGAAAAAATGAATTTTTAATGAGACCTGAAAGGTTTTTACTAAAATGACTGTAAATACGATATATCTTGTATCAGTCACTTAGTATATCTGATCACGTCGAAGCATACATCCAATCGATAGTTCTCAAGAAGGTATTTCCTTCGACAGTCAATATGGATACCACAAGGACGAAGTGAGAACGATGAGCACAACTAATCTGAGCGCGAGACAAGTACTGCCAGAGTGACGGAATGGATCCAGCGCCAGAACCAATAAAGCAAAAATTAAAACTTACCTTCACATTTTATTTATTTATTTGTATTCTTATATTAATCATTCATTTTCACTGCCTTAAAAATAATCTATTTTCATAATAAATGATGATATTCAAATTTTTAAATTAACACCATCTGTTGCAGCTCAATATCATCTGAGCAGTAGATCTATGACAGCTATGCAGAAAATTTCCACCAATAATTACGACCATCATTATCTCTCATAATATTCACTAATGCTGTGATCAATTCATTGACAATTATATTCAAGCATTATTTTATTATTTCAGCTGAATACTGAAAATAATTGTTATGCATTGCGCTTGTTATTTTGATGTCATTACCGTGAAATAAATTTACCTTCGTTTATCAAAAGATATGTGTGTTAAAACATTTATTAATTGATTAATATGATTCAGAAACTTAAAGTTATATCATTTAGTGAAGGATACAAAATAAAAAAGGTTTCTTAAGGTGAAAAAATCATATTGATACAGAAATTTTCATTACGAGAATGACAGAGAGAGCTAGCTTATTCCAGTTTGATCTGTTCTTGCAGACTTTATTGCACTAATTAACGAAGTGCTGATTCTTCTTAGTATTGCTATGTTTGTATTTGATTTATCGTTCAAATGAGTTAGATCCAGCTATTGATTCATTCGTGATCATTATTGGTTTATTTCAGATACAAGTTTGCAGCTTGTGTTCTGGTGAGTCCAAGGTATAGAATATCCTAAAATTTTTACAGTTATGTCAGATTCTACCGATTCTAAAGCAAAAGCTTCTCCAGATAATGTTACAGAAGGGTTGCATGTAACAAATGAAGGAATAGCAGTTAGTGATCCGACATTGATGGAAAAAATTAATGAACAAACAAGGGAAATTGAAGATGCGGTATGGTAATCAGTAATTTTTACATTGATTTCATTCTCATACCTTTGCTTTCATGACTCCTACTCTAATTATTATTGTTTTTATTACTGCATGTTATTCATCACTGTAATTTTCACCAATTCGTATTTAGAGGTTTTTGTAGAGGGTTTTGTGGATCTGTAATTCATTAGTTATGCAATCATCAATTCAAGCAGTTTTTCATATCTTGTAGAGAATCTATTGTTTTCCAAATCATTTCGTATTCGAGCGCTGAAGTTTAGTTTTATACTGGGCTAACTCTGAAACATCATTTTGACTTGAGATACATTTATAGCTTTTTAGGGATTAACGAAATATTTTTAGGTTAAAAAAGAGCAAGCACTGGTTGGTGAAAAAGAGCCGATTGATGTTTTGCTAACTGTATATAATGAACACGAAAGTGCTGAATATTATAAAAAATCTTTGGTAAGCATAATGATCGGTTCTTGAATTACTTTGCTTTTTTAAAATTATTTTTGTTGTTATTTACATTTAGTTTTGAATTCGATAGCTACTAAAATCCAGTTTTAGCAATTAGCTAAGGTGTATAAATTTTATCGTCGAATTCGTGGCGATGGTTGCTGCTTTTATCGGGCACTTCTCTGTGCTCAGCTAGAATCACTTCTCAATGATTCCATTGAATTATCCAGGCTCGTGCTTTATATCTCGCTGTTTCGAAAGTCATTTTGATATTGAGTTAAATGAAATTAGTGATTTTAAAATCTGAGAAAATTTTGTTCAAAGAATCTTTTTTGGAATATTCTATTTCGCAGGTTCTCAGAAATATGCAAAAACTGGCGGCAACGCTTATTAAAGCTTGGCTTCCCAGAATTTACTACGAATGACTTTTGTGATTGGGTATTTTTTTCAATTTAGAAGTAGGATAATTGTTATATGACTGTTGAGTAGTCAGTTTATTTACAGAATCTATGATGTGGTCAAACTTATGCGCTACCTTTAATATTTGTGGTTGTTCTGATCACTTTTGGTGTTTTTATATTGTTTCATTTCATTAACTTTTAGTTTCAAACAAATGGTCATTTATTTCATTTGCAAAACCACATCTGTCTCAAGTGTAATATTTGATTTATTCAGTTCGATGAATTATTGGATGATATTGCAGTGAAAAGCTATGATGAAAATTCGCTTATGCTAGCTTTGAATGAGGAAGGTCGTTCAAATTACTATGTAACCTTCCTCAGGTTTCCATTATTTTTGTTTTTCATAGCTTTGCTAGAAACAAATCACTAATTCACCAAAAAATTTGTATTACATGCTATTATAACATTGACAATAAAAAATTGCGACATTGGTCAATAATATTATTAGTATTAAAGAATCTAGGAAGAAAAAATTATTTGTCTATTTTAAAAATTGCCTAGTTTTCAAGAAATGAGTTTTCAGATTGATAACCTCAGGTTTTTTACGAGAAAATGCTTCTACTTACGAAGGTTTTATCGAGGGTGGCTGCTCAGTGGAAGAGTTTTGTCAGTCAGAGATAGAACCAATGTACAAAGATTGTGATCATTTAGCAATAATTGCTTTGACAAATGCTTTAGGTATTTCAACTCTAGTTTGAATATCTTTTTATATGTATATATATACACATTAGTTCATTGAAAAGAATTATCTTTTTTCGAGTAGAAAGCAAACAGAAAAAACTTGGCATCTCAAAACAGCATTTTAGAAGCTTTTAACAATTTAATAAACTTATGAAGCTTTTAGGATTATAAAGATGAATTTTCGTCATTAAGTAGCTACATGGATGAATTTTAGGTGTATCAATTCGCATAGAATATATGGATCGGACAGCTGCACCTAATCATGGGTGGTATTATGATTTCATCGTTCAGCAAAATCCTATTAGGCATCGTTTTCTTTATCGACCCGGTCATTACGATATTATTTATGAAACGTAGTAGTTTTGTAAAGTTTTTTATTTCACCATTGTTATCAATTACTTTTACTTCAAATTCGGGTCAAGATATTCTACTAATTTAAAGAGGTTGCTCACCTTTGACGCAATTACCAGATTTTTAAGTTGCTATTTGCATTTTAAGTATACTATTATCTTTTATCTAGCAGTTGACTTTGCTTAGAATCCCTAAAATAAAACGGAACACGTGAGAAGAAATATTGGCCAAACAGATTTCTCTGATTTCACTAATTTAGTATCTGTCAATCACTTACAGAAATATCAGTAGAGAAGGATATTGCTCTTCTAATTTAGTTACTATACGAAATCTTTCAAATCAGTGCTTTTTGTTAGAAAATGTATAAAAAATATATAGCGAAACAAATGAATGATAGTAGATTTACTTAGTACATTTCCTAATTTTTGTTACTCTTGTTTTGCTGCTTATTTATAGAGTTATCATTATTTTGAAGAATGATTTCCGAAACTTTTTTTGGATGCCTGTTTTCGCTTCATTAATTAAGTCTTATTCCAAAAAGACTATTCATTCAGCCACGTTCATTGTTTTAACAACAAAAAAGTGCACTTTTGTGTTTTGAATGTTTAGTCATAGTAGATGATTCATTACAGCCAAAAAACTAAAATATTTTTTCTTCTATGATGTCTATAAATGATAGAGTTATTATCTATACTGCTATAGATCCATATTTCAAAGTTTTTGTGAGCCTTTATCGACTTCTTTGAAAATAATTCATTATTATTGGAGAACAATGAAACAAGTAATTGTCTCTTTCAACGTTGTGGAAATTACTGTTTGTGCAAGTTTCGGCTATAAAACGATTATGAATTTGCCTCTGTGGTAGCCGCATCATTTGTAGTTGCCAACCTTGCTGATATGTCCGTTTGTGCTCGTGTGCAATCACTAAAACAAGTTAAGTGCTACGTAAGGAATCTAAGAGAGTGGTAATATTTGGGTGCATTTGTTCATCATTGTTATTCTGCATGTGGGAAGTATTTAATCTGTAAGTGAGACTAATTATGAACTGACCAGTTGACGAAACCATGTCGCATCATCTCAACTTCATCCCATCCAGGTCGGCGCTTGTATGTTAACGATAACTACAAATCCTAGTATGTCGTCGTAATGCGTAGATAAGAGTTGTAAATAATCTCATAATTATTTAAAAAAAATTAAAAATAAGTAAGCTATAAGATCTGACTGTACTATACTACAAATTATCATGTGGATAAAGTTCATTCATCACATGTAGTAAAGTTAGTGTCCCACTACTGTAATGCTAAAATCCTTACCTTGATTTGCACCTTGTTTTTTTACCATAACGTCGAATAGTCTGAGTAATTTAAAATAATGTGCAGATCAAGTATTGTTTGAAATAAAAATAAGTGCTACTTATGGAATATGAATTACTTACGTTACTACGAACATCGTCATCTCGTCCAGCACTACTTCTAGACTTTGAAGGCATGAGAGTCGGAAAGTCCGTTGATTTCTGAATCATTTTCATGTATGAAAGTATTTTTGGATATAGGAGTTCAGCAGAGTATTTCATATAATTTTTAAATATATATGCACGAACCTTGCTTAGTTCCATCTCTTTATGACTTGATAGATCTGAACAGATACAGGCAACAGACCCTTTATTTTTTGATTGCGATTTATCGGAAATTGTTGAAGATGACTGGAATATTGATTCCGGTGATCTGACAACCCCATGAAGTGAACTATGAGCTTGCTAAATCAAATCATTCTGAATTGTAAGTACGAATTTATAATGGTTTTAATGGCTGTGGTACCCATTTTTGCACAATGGTTCATTTATTCAGTACTATTGTGGTAGCAAAGCGTTATGCAAAAGTAGAACAAACCATATAGAATATTTAATTATGAGTGCAGACTTGAATGTAAGGAGGAAGGACAATCTAACAGCAATCTATCTTTTATTCGAATGCACATTCCAGGTTTTTATGCGGTAGTACTCATTTTATCCACAAGTAGTGAGATTTTTGATTTCTATTAGCGTCAAAGGATTCATATAAGATATCAGTTCTTATAATTACATATTCTTACAAAAAATAGCTCACATTTTCTGAACAAGGAGAAATATCAAATAGATTGCTGTTAGATTGGAGTAATGCTGGATGAGATATATTCTCATAGTAAGATTTTAATTTTCAAAACTTTGTAATCTGTCTTAATAGAGGATTTTTAAGTTTTTTCGAGTTTTTAAGTTTTTTACTTTTATTAATTTGTTATCAATAAGTATAAACTTATGTTTTGTTCACTTTAAAGCGAAATATGACCTAAAGAATATTTTTTGTGTAATTTTATTAAGTTATTACTGTAATGAATGATTTCCATAGCATGTGTGGTACTGTACTTTAAATAATAAGCAATAATTCTGAGCATGTAATTTCTGCATGAAGTGAGATTATCACGAAAAAATATTATATATTAGAATTAAAAATTGAAATTTCTTCGAGATTGAATATAATTATGGGATAGTTGTACTGGAAATAGAAGTATTGGAATGAGCATTAGTGTCATTAACATTATCTTGCTTATCGCATCACTCTGATCATAATTTTACCTTGTCTTTAGTTTGTATCAAAAATCTCTTAGTATAATATAATTAGTTTTTGAAAAATTATTAGATGAAGTAATTCTAACCTGAGAGTCGATATCTCGGATGAATAATATGGTAGCCGTGATACCCATTAGTATAAGTGTTGCAACAAGTGTGATTCGAATAATTTTGTGTGTAATAGATATTTCTTCACGGTAATTTTGCACATCAACACTGGTTATTTTCTTAATTAATTACTTGTGATCAGTTATGACCAATTAAAAGCGCTCAGTTTATTTGAATCAATAATTATGATTAAATAATTGCTAATAATTAGTCTTAATAATATTTCGATTACGGTATTATGGAGGTAATAGTTTTAGAGTATTGACTATGAAATGAAAAAACTTTTTAAACTAACTAACTTCAGTTGTAATGGGATCACTTTCTTGAAACGTTAATACCACTTGAAAACTAATAGATAGGACTAGAATAATATATGCAGGCATAACAATGACTTCTTATTTTCTAAAGAAATGCTTTTTCTTAAACTTGAAAAATTATGCAAATTTTTATTCAAATATTATCCCTAGAAAACTTACCTTTTTTATTCAAGTAAAAAAATGCAATTTTCTTTTCAATTTTTCAAGTTTATTTGATGTAATTATTGAATTTAGCAAAATATAAAAAAGGTATATGTATATTCATTTAGATTGTGTACTTAAATTTGCACAAAATTATTAAAGATTAAACTCTTTTCTTCAATAAATTTTTTTGCTTTTTTAATTTTCACTCTTTTTATTAGTCATAACTTTTTTCTAATTTTATTACTTATTTTTTTAATGTTATTATGTATATTTTTTATTATACTTATCTATCTGTTGCTTCTAAAATGTTTATTTTGTCGATTGTAATTTCTTTTAAATAATTTTATTTCTATTTAAGTAGTATAAATTATTTACCAATTTTTCCTTCTTTATTTAATATAATTTAATGCGAAAATTTTAAAAAAATAGGTCTAATACAAGGCATTACTTCGTTATTTCGTGCTTTTCTTCACAATATTGCAAAATTTATTAGTAATTTTTTTAAAGTTTATTTTCGTTATAATTAATCGTTTCTGATAATAAAAGTTGTGTTTTTTTACTTTTTTTTGGGAAATTCGTAAGAATTGTTGGTTTATTAAACAAATATCTAACATTTTCAAAGTTGAAAATTCTAATAAATCGCTGAATTCATTTTCAGAAAATATTCATCAAATGCAATTCATTTCTGGTATAAGAGCAGTGCTAAAATTATTTGTAAACAATTTTATTCCTCATTTTCAGGAGATATTTTTTTCAAAAAAATTATTTTCTAACTTTTTTTCGTATTTCATCTTCCTTATGAATTTTACGTGATCAGCTACTATTATATATCTATTAATAATTCTATACTGCGTACGTCTTTCAATACATTTTTCGTGAATTATGGTATTTCTTCGAAAAATTTTTGGTCCATTTTTGGGTATTTCATTTGGTATTACTTTACTGCTAACTTCAGTTTTCGGTAATTTCTTGTTAACATTACTGCTACCAGTTTTATATTTTAATCACAAACAATGGCGTTCTATGGTCGATCGAGCGATCAGTTTTTGGATCATTATTCCCATTGTATGCCTTTCACTTCACTACTTTCATTATTATTCAGCTTTCAATTTTGTGAAAATTAATAAATGATATCACTAAAATCAATACAGTAGTGTTATATTATGATAATTTAGCGCTATTAATTCATTCTTCTTGTATCATTATTTGTGTATATGTGTTAATATGAAGTTGAATTGGTGACAAGGAATTAATATTAGTACTAAGAGTGATTAAAAATATCTTATTGGTTAGCATCGTAAGGTTTAACTTGATAGTAAGTTTTTTATATTTTTATCAGTTTACTTGAATATATTACAAACTGAACACTATGTGTGTAAAGTTAGTATTCTAAAGAAGTTTTTATTCATGAAAACTAGTAATTTTTTTCCACCAAAGCCTGATTTTCCGTATTTTAATTTACTTCTTTCCTTTATAAAACTCTACTTTTCAAAGAATTATAATTTAAAAGAATAATTCATATATTTTAAAAAATTTAAAATTAAAATTCAATTTAACTGTCAACAAATTATCTGAAATCACGGTTTCCATGTGCTTTGTTTTTTAAGAAGATGTACCTTGTTTAACTATAATGCTAATTATTTATTGAAAGATTTTTTCAACAAAAAATAAATAAATTTGATCATGGAATTGCTACTTAAGAACAAATTAATTAATTTTATACAAAAGTAAAAAAAAAGGAAAAAATTACAAATTAATAATGGCTTGTTAGATTTTAGTTATTTGACTACTCCAGGTTTATCTTGAATACATATTTGGCGTCAAGTTTAAAGCAGTCGGTGATGCTATTGATAATAATCGTCCTGCAATCATTGTAATGAATCATAGAACCAGACTTGACTGGATGTATTTTTGGGGGGTGTTGTTTAAAATGAATCCATGGTTATTGGTGAGTTCGAAAATTGCATTAAAAGCCGAACTTCGCAACATTCCTGCAGCAGGTAAATATTTTTAGTATTCGTTACTGATTTTGCTGGATTATAAAAACTTTGTATCTAACTTAAATATGAGTTACGAATAAAATATATAGTGCTTTTTTTGGAATCATGGCATATATCATTTTTGTTTTGTTATATAAGTATTATTTGAAAAAATCTAAGAGATTGAAAGAAGTTTTTGATGAAGAAGAAAATTAGAAGCAAAACTATTATTATAAAATTCCATCTAATCAATGCATATTAAAGGTTTTGGAATGGAATCAAATCAATACATATTCTTAGATCGAAAGATCGAAATAGATAAAGAACGCATTACGGATGCTGTCCATTACTACGCAACTATTGGAACAGACTACCAGGTTTTTCTTTTTCAAATAGTTTTAACTAGTATTCTAAAGAAGATAAAAATATTAATAGAATATAAATGACTATTTGGATAACTTAATAAGTTTTTGTGATAGTTTTGATGAAATGAAGGAAAAAATAGTTCCTCAATTCTGTAGGTCATTTCAGACACATATTTCTTTCTGAATTTTTTAAGAAAAAATTTCAGTATGAATAATGAAAGCAAAAGTTTTTAACGAACTTAAAAATCTGGCATGAAATTACTAAGGATAAAATCATGTTATAGATTAGCCGTTTTCATCTAGATTTTGTTTAGAACAGAATGCTCCATTTGATGCATATTTTTTGATTATTTTCATTTCGTTCATAATCTTTTTTCCATCAATCTGTATATTTCGTAGTTTTTGTAGTGCTTTAAATATTTTTTTTTAAACTTAGAAAGTATTATAACTCCATAGTTTTAATAACAGCACTAATTAATAATTTCTAGATATTGTTATTTCCGGAAGGGACTGATAAAACAGCAGATACAACGTTTAAAAGCAACGAATATGCAAAAAAAAATGGCTTAAAGGAATTGAACTATTTAATTTATCCACGTTCATCTGGATTAATTCATTTGATAAATGAAATGAGAAGATGTTAGTAAGCAACTTTGTTTCTGTCTAAATTCAAAAATGATTTTTTAAAATGCAAATTTCATCGACAAAATTATAATTTAGATAATTATATTGAATCCATATACGATGTAACTCTTGCATATCCGGTTAATGTAGTACAGTCTGAAATTGGACTTTTGCTCTTGGGCCAAGCTCCAGAGCAAGTTTTATTTCATATCAAACGTATCGATATCTCATCTGTACCACGTAATGATCAAGACATTGCTAATTGGATTAACAAGTATTTCCTTGTTCATAAATTTTCGCATAAGTCAAAGCTAAAATTATATAAATTGAGGATGCAGTGATTTTTATAATTTTTTATATAAAGAAATTAAAAAATCTAATTCAAACACTCATCACTCAAAGTAAAATACAACACAATGAAAATTTAAACTTAGCAAAAAATAAAATATGCTGAAAGTACACGCAAGATCCTTACTATATTCTCTTATGAGTGTTAATGTTAATTTAGTCAAAGTTTTAGGCTGTGGTTAGCCAAAGAGGAAGAACTAAGCTTATTTTATTCACAGCGGTCACCTAGTACGAATTTCTCAAATACTGAAAATAAGTTCATATGGGAGGTAATAATACTCATTATATCTGCTAAAAATATATGTATTCAAAACTTGGTTTCTAAAACACATGCCTAAGAAATTAACAAGTATTTAATAATGAATTAGTTGAGAAAAAATAAACTTTAAATCTTATCTAGTTGTGTTTCAGAAAGACAATAAAACAGTTAAGGCAGTCAAAATTTTCACATTGTGTATGTGGTTATCATCAACACCGCTCTGGCTATATCACTTGACATTTGTACGACTCGTCCAGGTGTTAAATGGTTTTTTTTCCCCAAAAATCTGCCGCAAAACTATAAGACTATAGAGTTGCAGAAGGGAATAAGAACTGCAGATTCATAATATTTTTGATTTGATTCACTGATCCGCCTCCTAGTTTCATAAATACTACATTGTATGAACTAACCCTCCTGCACCAGCAGTCTCACTATTCAATATAAAGTTTAGCACTCCTCTAAATACCAAAAAAATAAAAAAAAGTCGGAAAACCAAATGTTATCACTTAATGCAGTTTAATTCCAGGTAATTTATGCTGTTTTCTTCGCTGTGTATGTATATATACATTTCAAATATGGTGGTATGCAGAAGATGGTTTACACTAAATGGAGACATTCAGTGACTACATAAAGCTATGATGGTCGTTCTTTCGCCTCACATATACAATTTTTAAATTCAGATTTTTCTGCTTTGTTCCACAAGTTTATAATATCTAACTCCTTGTGTGCACGTTTCGATTAATAAAAATTCATTCATTTCATCTATATTACATCAAGACCAAAAAATACAAAGGGAATAAAATCGACTTTTTAAGTAAATTTAACTCGATTATTTATGCTGTTCATATAAATGAAGAAATTAGTCAGAACTTAATGACTACAATAACATAACTTCGGTTTTTTTTTTCTGTTTTATTATGATAAATACCAGTCGATTAGAACCCAAATAATACAAACGTAGATCAGTAGTAATAACACTATTCCATTTTATTCGTATTATCTTCTTCTTCTTCTGCTTCTCCAGTTCGCTGTTCACGAGTTTTTGTAGTATTTAAGCGCCAAATCTAAAGAAATTTGAAGGCAAATTAATATATAATTGTCTTGAATTTTCTTTCACTCTAAAAGTAAAATATTGATAAGAAAAAGCGGGACGACTAGTGGGAACTGACCAACCTGTATATAAGATTCAGCTAATGTAATCATTTGCGGCAAAATTTCTTTCACATGTAAATCTTCTAATTCATACCATTTCTGAGTTCCCTGAAAGAGCGACACCTGCTATTACTAAATATTTAAATAATTCCGCATATACATGAAGACTTGTATCTTTATTAGCATTTTCATAAGCGAAATGAACCAACATTATGAAGTATTTGAACCCGGTATGAACCGGATGGTGGCGGTCCATCATGAACAATGTTTGATACGAGATCATAGGTTGTGTACTTGTGCAGAGGACGCATCTCTTCTGCCAAGCAATCATACAAATCTACATTGCTGAAACAAAACTACTCATTGTTTCCAATTTGTAGCTTTATCGTAGAAATGTTTTAGATTATAATCAATATATTACCTTATGGGGAAATTAACAATTGTTGGGTTTTTCTCGACAAACCATTGGTTCTTGTGAAATCTTTTGTAGGTTATAATTAGATATAAAGGCAGCTGAACAAGTTGGAAACGTTTCATGAAATTCTCGCTGTATGTTTTATATTCCTAAAACCAAAACGTGTTTGATTTCAGAAACTTTAAAAGTCCTACTAATAAAATGATTTGTGTAACATTTAGAACAATTAGTACTAGAAGACAGATGTTCCGGATACCTTTTCTGTAATACCATTAAATTTGGTTAGCAATACAGAGAGTGGTACTTGCGGTATAATATTTTGCAGTAATTCATCACGATATAGAGGAGCAGCAGGTAAATCCAATGTGAGGTACAGAAATGGAATTTCAACCTTTTTTTCTAAAAAAATTAAATTTAAGTCATCAAATTACTACACCATCAAAAATTAAGTCAGATGTTTAAAATACTACCTTTATACTCCTCAGTTTCCAGTAGTACTCTTCGTGTTTGCTCAGTTGTTTCAACGGGTATTACTTTACGCGTAAATTCATGGAGGCGACCACGAAAGATTTTATAAACGATTGATGAAGACGTTTTACGAGTACCATTCAGTGCTACATGAAGTGTATTCAATAAAAAATTTAAGAACTCAGCTGCATCACCTGCAAAATTTTGACGCATTACAACAAAAAAGTTGCTGGTGACTTATCTCAGTTATTATTTGAAACTAAAACTTCAGTAACTACTAAATTACTTGCGGAAACAAATGAGCAAACCTTGCTTTGTGATCTGAAACTTCTTGTTACTGCATAATACACTGGCCTGTAACATTTCATGGGGTGATACATGTGCTTTGAAAGCTTTTGGATTCCACAGCTTTCTGATGAGTTCGCCAAATCGTTTAGGCAATAAAGTCAATTTATCTCCAGGTGGTCTCTTTATTTCAATATAATTTTCTTCACGCAAGAAATAATCACGAAGTGGTGGTACATGTGATAGAGCCTTAAAACTATTTTTAAGATGTCAACATCACATACATGTCAATATTTATGCGACATATGTTACAATCTGATATTTTTTAATAGTACTTATTCCTATATATCAATCTTCTCTAGTAAAAACTACAAGTATTGTAAATGAGTAAAACTCAAAATGTACAAGATTATTTATAGAATAAATATACTAAAAACTTCACAAACTTACATGTAATACCACATTTTCGTAATCGTTCGCTTTAATATTATTCAAGCCTACAACACCTGGGTGGTATATCGTACTATCAAAAGCTCTTGCCATTTTTCCAATTTTATCAATTTCCATTATATATTTCTTTGTATAGGTTGGTTTCAGGACATACTGCAATAAATTCTTTTTGACTAAATTATTGAGAGTTCAATCCTTTTCCGCCAATTATATATTGAAATAAAATAATTACGGTTAAAATGACAACCTTGATGTCATCTAGAGATGGGTCAATAATTTCATAGTTATCTGGCAAGCAGTAGAATTTTAAAGTGCTCAAATTTAAAAAAACACGGTGATTAGTATCCAGTGAATGAGTATATGCATGTGTGCTGGTACCGCGACCCTTAAAATATACATTATTGAGTAACCGTATAGTTGGAAGGTTTTATACATTTATGTAAATAATGAAAAAAAGTTTATGATGAAAAATTTACCTGAAAATATTTGCCACAAACCATACACGCATAGACGTTTATATGCGATAAGGAAATCGAACAAAGTTTCTCAAAATCAAAATCCAGTGCACATCTTCAAGGAATACATCAAAAACTTTAGAAGAGCTAAATGAATGAAATGTATTCCAAAATTTCAAAGTAACAGAAGATATATACCTATCAATTGTATCTAAATAAGGACACTGTCGACTAGGTTTTTCAATCTGCGCTTTCTTTAATGACCAGACAGCATCATTATCTGCATCGAGAAGCTCAGGATGTTCTTGCTCTTCTCTCAACAGTCTAGCGATTTCTAGTTCTCTTGCTGTTGGTACTTTATTAACAGTTTTGGACTTTAGCTCATTACCATCAAGATTAGTTTTAGCTTGAAGTACTGACTCTGCAATATTATTTTCTTAAACATGAACCACTGCATTTACTTAACTAAATTTATTCAAGACAAAAAATATTATATAATGGATTTAACTTGACATACATATTTTCCGAATATAATCCAATTTTATAAGGCTTAATTATTAAAAAAAAATAGTACAAAACAATCACCACTGTTTTTGTTTTCATTCTCGATTGGAGAGCGACGGCGTTTGTCGCTTTTTGAATGCTGCAAAAAACAAATAAAATCTTATTTGTCATTATTAATAGATTATAAATAATTTACAAAATCTTGAAAAATTCAGTCCTGTACACAACTGAGGTATGTGACTCATCGAACAATAAATTTAGAGAGGAGAGAACAAAATCAGCTCTGAACTGTGAGCATAACTTTCATGTAAGAATATAATTTGATTGATTAAAAAACAAATACCAAAATTTTTGAAACTAACTCAAAAACATATCATCAATTTAAAAAACCTATTTGATTATCTGCTAGTATCCTACATCAAAGTAAAAATATTACTCTTTTCGATGATTTGGATTCTTTATAACTTGAGTGCTTTCGTCTCGAACGTGTTTTCGAATCATCCCGACTTGTGTCACTACCAGAATCTCCCGATCGTGATCTTTTCCGTTTCCTATCTCGAACACCAACAACAGAGTCTTCTTTTCGACTTTTCCTCGATGATTCAGTGGGTGTATGATCTGTATTACGGCCTGGTTTCACATAACACTTCGAAAAAGGTTTTGTATTTCAACTTCTTAGATGTCATAGAAACTTTAAATTAATAATTAGAAAAGCTTAGTCACCAGTTTTAATCGTTTTCTCATGCAAACCATCTCCATTTTCATTTTTCATCATTTCACTTTCTTCATTCTTTTCCATAACTTCCTGAAATACAATCATGACTTTTTTGTTTCCTTTTGAAAATTGTAATAACAAATTAGCAAAATTTCTTACAGATAGCAGTTCGTTTCCTTGCTCGCCATTCTGGTAATTTTCAGCACGTGCATTCTAAAAAAAATGATATTTTTTTCTATTTCATAAAACAGGAAACAGAAATACATATGAAGATGAAATAATTAAAAAAATGTATCACTTCAAACAGTATACCAAAGCAATATGTTAATATACAGAAGTTGTTGGTACTAAAATTCATAACAATTACAAAATTATAACTTATACTTTATGATCATCGGTCCTTTTATTGCTTTTTGTTGAAACCATTGCGAATATTTTTCTAAAAAACAACAATTTATGTCAGAAATCATTTAAAGAATAAAGAAACACAATAAGAAGTAATAAAGACGTCAACGTATAAACTATTGAGCATGTTAAAATAACACGTGAAAATGAGATCAAAGTTATTTTCTCTAACACCACAAAGGTTTTTTCCATGTTTGAAAAATATGTAAAATGCGACTCGACAATTACTACCAATGAAAGCAACCCCCAACTTCTTTAAAATAATCACTACCAGTGTAATCAATCCCCAACTTCTTAGATTAATTACCAAAAAATAAACCAATTAATCACCGAAAAATAAACCAATTTCAAACTACCGTCTCTCTTCATAAATTAACGTAGCAACTTATTTTCACTCAACTAATTTTGAACCAAGCGTAAATACACTTTGAAAATTATACGGCTCATAGTGGCACGAAGCATTCTTCTTAGGCACAAAATTATATTCCCTCCACTTTTTTATTTTTCTTTCAGTAAGAAAAGCAATAAAAACAGTAAAACAAAATAAACTCTTCAAATTTTTTTTTTCTAATCATTTGGGTTTTCAATTTTTTAAATATAACTGTCCCAAATGGAAAATATCATTTCTAAATTCAAAATTCATTTCATTCAAACTCTTTGCTTGCATTTTTGAGACTTATTTGTGTTCTATTTTTATTATTTTTTAAGTCTGCCCAAAATTTTACTTTCAATTTCATTACAAATTCAATGTGTATTTAAAGTTTTCAATTTCTAGATGCACGCTATTTAATTATTATCGCTTGCATATAGCAATAAAATTCAAACTTTGTTTATGTAAAATATATTGCTATCTTATTTTCCACTATACTTTTTATTATTACTTTAGTTTTAAAAATACAATTAAATTTAAATACAAATACATAAGATAACAATGAGTACATATTCCTATATATATGTATATGATAGTTTGGATACCCCTACAATCGAATTAAAGGTGATTACAGATAAATATCGTACTGATTACAGATAAATATCGTACTGTGTTGCCATCTGAAAACAAAAACATTTTAATGAATTTATTACAAACATTTAAATATAATCAACTGAGAAAATCAAACATTCTGAGTTCGACTAGCTTTATGACAAGGAATAACAAACTGATAAAGATTTATTAATGGATTTTTAAGAGGATAATAATGAAATCGATTTTAGTTATATTATACGGTTTGATCTTTTTAATAGTACAGAAAATATCTAAATGAAAAATACGATACTAAATTTTAACCAAACATAACATCCTGAATTGTGAATTCCCATTTTAATTTATAAAATTGTATATGTTTAGTTTCTTACCTAAAAGTGCATTTATTACCTGAGGTAAAAAAGGTGCATCCATTACCTGAGGTAAAAAAGGTGCATCCATTACCTGAGGTATTCTACTGCTTTGGAATTTGGCGACAATCCTTACTGCATTTCATTTAGATAGGGTTGGACTGCTGTGATATAAATTTCATTTCCTGACTAAAATATTTCACAAAATAATTGGTTTACATTACTTACATTAATGAAAAAGAAGATAATAATGATAGTAATGACACATTTTTGCATCAATTTCACGTAATAAGTAAGGCTGACCTCACGTATATATTGTGCAATTTGTCGACGTGTTTCAGGTCTTATATGTTGAAAATTTACACATTTAAATAATCTAATAGCGCGAGCAAACATGGATTGAATGTTTTGATTATTAGATTCAGTACTCATTCGATATTGACGTTCTTGAAAGTGAATCCAACGTAAGATTATTTGAAAGCGTTGAAAAGCGGCACTTTCATATTCTTGCGGATAATGACGCATGCGTCTCGAATCGTGTAAAAGCAACCAATACAATTCATTACATGTCATTAGCTGCAAATACATTATTTTTAATTTTTAATTTAGCTTCCATAGTATCACTGATTGGTATTAGTGTTAATTAAAATTTGCAATCCACGTATTTTTGCATGAACAGTTTCAAATTTAAATAAAAGCTTTTTAGAGATTCAAAGAACTTAAGGATTAATATTTTTGAGCAGTAAATTTATTTAGTTGTTATTACCATTAATGTGCTTCGATCTTTTCTCATTGCTTCATCTACGTATAACGCTAAGTAATTCGTCATATTTTCACATACAACTTGTTGAGTGTCATAGGTCACGCAACGCATTGTTTGTTCATCCCAAAAATGACATCAAATATTTAGTCACTAGTTGATTTGCTTTTTCAAGATAAATTCTTTTTAATAAAAAATTTTATCATTAAGAGAATTACATGAAAAATTGTTTTGAATGTATCCAAAGCAGTTTCAGGCTGCGTTGAACGTTTGCGTAAGAAGGATTCTACCACACGGCTTAATTCAGCAATGCGGAAGAATAATGCGCACTGTAAATAGTATGAAATATTAGTAATTAAATTTAGTTGAGTAATTATTTTTTAAAGTGTTTCTCAGACTGTGTGTTAAATTTGTATGCTAATTTTTTAAGCTTAAGTGTCAGATATTTCTGAACATTTTCATATCAAGTTTCTAATCGTTCTAAAACGTTACTGAAATTAATTTGAATTGATGGAATAAATGACCTGCATCATATCATGTAATGCCGAAGTATTAATTTGAAGTGATCCTGAACGAATAAACTGTATTGTTGCTTGTATAGTATGCCAGTGAAACGGTAAAGCTAAAATTTTTCTAATTTAAAATCTTTAGCAAATATATGAGATTAATTAGAATTAAATATCAGACTTAAAATTCATAAATATTTTAAAACTATACAAAAGTAAAGTAAATATTACTATTACTATTATCAATGAAAAGTAATCATCTCTAAAAGTGTTATTGTAAAAATGTAAATAACTGGAAGTGCTAACAGTAGCAACAATGAGTCCTTCATCGAAGGTGATACCGTAAATGTTTATTAACAGTTGTATTAAGCAGAATTACTGTTTTTTACATACAGTATTTGATGATTTTTGTTTTTTTTCATCATTAATGAAGTTTTTTGCAAATATTGACATTATTTCTAAACATTAGTAATCTGGTTTAAAGCTCATTAGACCTTTACGATCATAATTTTGTTGTGATAACTGATAACTACTGGCCTAATGAAGTATTATTTTTGTATTACTGTACTTTACCATTATTGTAAATAAATTACTGACCTGAACAATTGATCACAGGAGAAGTTACTCCGCTTTTCATCACTAAATGACGAATGTAAAGCGAATGAGCGCATGCCAATGATGTACTGATAACTTCTTTCTTATCACTATCTCTAAAAAAAATACTGTAATAACCTTTTCTCGATCACTATCACACAAAAAGTACAGTAATAAGCAGAAACTGTTTTTTGTCAAGAAAATGACTTATTATCTATAAAAACTTTACTGTTATTTTATAAAACTACAGTATGCAAACAACATTTTTCCCAAAAATTACACATTATTCTTCACATCAAATCTTAAAAAACGTGTAACTATTAATTTACTTAACTAAAATTACGTTATTCTAGTTAGAATTATCAAATCGTCGTTTAAAAACTAAAACACAACTTACACAGTAAATATTAAAACTTACTGTATTTATAAATTTTTTTGAATTTTTTATACTTTTCAAAAAAAATTAATCTTTATTTACTTGTAAAGTAAAACTGTTTTATTACTCCACATGTTCTGTTGTTGCATCAGAATCATCGGCTAAAATTAAATATTATACATATTCATACAGTAAGTATAAACAGTGTTAATTTTTGAATAAATGTTATTATTTTTCATTGTTTTATGCATTTACAAGTAGATTTTTATTAAAAATTTAAATATAAAATAATAATTGATTGCATACTTTAGCTAAATGAACCTGCAATCCATTACCACTGGTGCTATTAACATATAACATCACGGGATCATTTGCATCACGTGAAATTAATCGTAAGTGTCCTCGAAGAGGTATAAGCTCCGTTGTTATTTCTTGTTCCGTTGGAGAACTCATTTTTAAGTCAAGTAAGGACAATGATTTTTGACTGCTAAAAAAATTATTTGAACCTTTTCAATTTAAATACAAAATAGCAATATTTTTTAAAACTATTATGCATTTTAAAATATTTTTTAAAATAATTAATTATTTCCATTTGTGAGTTCAACTTTAGAATGAATATTAATTTAAAAAAACTGAGCAAATATTTTAGTACTTCGTTTTACTTTAATTTCTCTCCAAAGTTTCAACAGATCACAATAATTACTTACTTACAGCAAGAATGAACTCTGAACTCTTCTGAACTATTGACTGAAAATGATCCCTGATAGCAGTAATTAGATAGAATCAACCGTTCACAATTTCGGATAATACAGCAATGACTATTCATACAATTTATCAACTATTTTATAACATTCAGTTATTATTCGAAAAAAATTTAATTATTCAAAAACCATTATTTTGAGTAGCAGAATCTGATTGTCTTTGTTACAAGCGAATATCACAGTAAATGCTACTGATAATGATACTGATTAATAAGGATAACATGTAATTAGTATTGAAAAATTATGATAAAATACAAAGTATTAAGATATATTACTCAATAAAAAAGTATTGGGTAAATTTATATATAAAAGCAAATAATGTAATAATCTATCAAATTATACATGGCAAAAAAATAGCATACAACTTTTCATCAAGAAAACAGTTTTTACTTCTAAATTTTTATTGCTAAATTATTCAGATGTTTATTACCAAATCCACTTTTGTAATTAAAATCATTAAAATTAGTGACTGTTGACAAATATCCACGTACAACTTTAAAAATCGAATCTGTATTAATTCCACAAGAATTTTCACGGAAAAGCTTGAAAATACGTAAATTCTTCAGACGTTTATCAAGGAGTTGTGATACTTTGTGCACTTTTGTTAAATTATATTGCTCTCAAACCTTAATATCCAATTTTCCATGTCACGAGTTGGTGATAATTTTTGCTTATCTTCAAATTTCTAAAATTGCATTACACTGTTAAGCTAAAGCCTAATATTAACTTTCAATCAAAGTTTTTAATTTGAATTAAGTAAAAATAAAGCTGGAATCATTGTGCAAGTAAAAATAAGAAAAAAAGATGTTTAATGATTACACATTGTTTCTTATCATACTTCACTGATTTATAATATTTAAAAATTTTAACTTTATAACAATGTGATAATTTAAACCTTCATGAAATATACTTTTGATCATCGCAATTTATTTTGCATGCACTAAAAACCTGACCTTCACACTAAAGACCTGACCTTCACACTAAAGACCTGACCTTTACATTAAAAACCTGATCCTTACACTAATCAAATCAAAGTGTTAATTTTTGTGTAGCAAATTTTTCCTTTTGTAATGACCAGAAGAAAATTCGTTAGGTCACTCATTTGAAATTATTGTAACTAATTTATGCTTGAGAATATTCAATATGTGAGCAGCTAAAACTTTTCAGCAAAATTTTTATTGTTTAAATTACTTTTACGGTGTTTGACTGTTTAAGTAAAGTAATGATTTTATACATAAAAATTAGCTAAATATTTTTACATAAAAATTGCCATTGTTTCATTTTAAATCTTTGACTTTTATATAGTATAAGTAAAGTAACTGTCTGTTATACTTTTAAAAATTCTTAAATGTTTTACAGGTTACATTGTGTATAATTTAATTTCACTTGCTTTTTCATCTTAAAATCTACTGTATGCACAATTAATTTGAAGTAAAATACTACCAGCCAATTTTATATACAATTTGTGCTCTATAGCGCTGTTATATACGTTCTGCTTTCTACAACTGATTATGTATTTACTGTATAATACAGTTCATTATTATTTGTTTTATTGTTCTGTACTGTTATTCTATTGTTCTGTACTGTTATTTTATTGTTCTGTACTGTTGCTACTATGTAAATAGTTGTTATTGGTTACTTTTCATTATTGTTATATTACATCTCTGATCTGGTCGGTCGTTTTTGTATCCATTCCATCACAGAGCTGTTTTTCTATTTTTTATTTGTAGTCTTACAACTAAAGTAATGGTGCTATGTTCGTTTGCAGTTGAGATATTGTTACGGAGCAGGAAGTAGACAATTCTTTAAGGCTAGTATCACAGTCGTAATTTGAAATGAATCTGTTCATTCTTTCTGATTTCATTTTTGCTCAATTTTGTTTACTGGTATAAATCATATTAGAATAGCGAAGCTTTTCCTATATGAAGTAAAATGATGGTTGATGATTTCTTGATGGAAGCAATGATTTGCCCCATTTGTCGTATGGTTAGTTAAGATTTATTTCTTGTAATTTGTATTTCGCTTACTTGTTATGATGTATTTGGAATTAGCTGAACAGTATTAAATAATGTTTCGTATTTTGTTTTTCAAAGTTTATAATTTTTTAGCTTCTTTATGATTAGCTTTACATTTGAAAATAAGAATTGAGGTTTGTTGTGAAGCATTTTGTCCATCTTTTTGAAATTCCTATCATTTATATGTATTTTTCATTTTTTGTTTATAGGTATTTCAAGCACCAGAACAGTTGCAGTGCGGTCATTCATTCTGTTCAACTTGTATAGGCCGTCTATGCCAAGCTTTTGTATTCAGTGATCGATTTCCAACATGTCCATTATGTCGTATGCGAATTACTGAAAAACCGGTATCTAATTACACTTTGAGCAGTAAGTTGATTGTACAGATTTTTTCTCTCATTTTTCGTATATTAAGCTAATTAACGGATTTGGGCAAATTAAATACATTCACGATATAATTTTGCTGATTGTGGTTTTTCTGTGATTGATTTTAGGTCTAATATCCCGATTAAAGGAAAAGGAATCTATGTCCAAGAAATGCGTTCAGTGTTCCAAAATGTTAACATCTGAGGAACAGTTTTCTTGTGATGACTGTGACCACGCTGATCGAGAGGAGGTAACTTTTTTTTTTCAAATGCATCGGATGTTATTTGAAATAAGGGCATTTAACAATGATATTAGTGTAGTACTTGACATATGATAATATGGAAAGCTGATATTTAATAATTTTTTTTTTTTGATGAATCGTCAAGATATTATTAAAAAATTTTATTCAGTTTGTAAAAAATTACCATCACAGGGATTCAGTGCCTGCGCAGTTTGTATACTTTTTCGTGAGCATGAAAACGAATTCGTAGTTGTATATGATTAAAGTTTTGAAAAATTAAAAGTTTATGAGAAGATTATGAGTGCGGATAAAAATATTTGTTTTTTTTTGGTACGGGGCTACCCAAAATAATTTACCATTTTCTTTCTTATCTTCACCTGTCAATTTTCATTTTTAAATTTATTTTTGGTTTATATTTAAAAAATAAATCTAAAAATGAAAAACTTTTAGATTTATGTAAATTATTTGTTGGTAAATACTACGGGCATTTTCAGAATGTTCGATGCACTCTCTGTATCATAGAAAAACATGCAAAGATTGGGCACTCCATATCTAAATATGGAGACACTAAACAGTTGATTAATTCTGCACAAGAAGAACTAAAAGTAATACTTAAAAAGACGACACAATTTCTAGAGGATTGTAGAAGAGTTACCAGGGAGCGTTTTGATGTTATCAATGAATTGTTCAAAGTTCGTCTAAATTTTAATATAATCATTCACTATTTTGAAATTAAAACTTCGTAAAAATTGCTGGAGCAAAACTTTTTTGTCTTTTGAAATTTGGTTGCAATTTATCCAAACTTATGCAGCAATTGATTTTATATTTGATCAATTTTTCTAGTATTATGTTTTAGCTGCTCTCTGCGCACTGCTCTGAGTTCAAATTGCTTGAGCAGTCTTTGCAAGAAGGAAATTTTCAATCAAAAAAAACCATTGGTTTGAAATTAGAGCATGCTCGACGTCTGCATGAATTTTACCGCAAGTTTCGTTTTTTGATTTTCATGTCATGTATTTGTTAACTTAGTTATCAGCTGTTGTGGAATTTTTCTAGAAATTTTAATTTATGCACAATTGATCTGAGTAAAGAATGGGGTTATAATATACTGTTTTTACGATGAATAGTACTGTTTACGTGCTGAGGTCTTGGAGAGTCCATGGCGTATTGAGTGTGATTTGATATATTTTGCGAAATTTCCTCAAGATAAATTCGTTTTTAGCGGACGGCTGAGTTCTCTCAGTTTGTTGACAGTACTCACAAGTCGTTATCAGATTTCCTCGTAAAAACAAGTATAGAGTTGGCAACTCATGTCTTATGTGGGGAAGTAGCGAATAACAAGGCTGGAGAGTTAGTTTTTCCCATATTATTCATCTTAATCTTTTCATCAACTAATATTTCGATTTTATTAGTATAAGTGATAAAATAAAAAGTGCCACAAATCTACTTGACAAATGAAGTCGGTGGCTTAATTAGCGAAGTTCATTTATGCCTTCAGTATCAGTTATCAGATCATATCCTTTTGAGTGGAGGATCTGTAATTTCAATTACTGGTGCCTATGCAATTTTTAAATTTAATTGTTTTTTTGGTTCTGAAGACATTAATAATAACTTAAGTTCATCACGTTCGTGGTTTGGTTATGAGCGAGAAGGTCGTGTGGGTGCTCTATATTCAGCTGCAGCGCGTCGCAATGCTATTTTAGCGAGACGTCATGCCGGATCTTGCAGTACATCAATGCAGGAAGTAAACAATGATGAGATGCAACATTAACCACCTACTTCCAGCTTATCTATGTCTTCCAATTCATTTTTCCTGATCCCATATTTTTTATATCTCCAGTATAATGATGCTGCTTTGGATCTCAGCAAATCTAGTCATTCTTTATCTTAATTAAAATCCTTTCGTGTGCATTTTCAGTAAGAATAAATCGTAACGCAATATTTTATTTTATGGAGTTTTAATATTTCAACTTTCTAAGAAATAATTGTTTTACTTCGTACTTTCAATATATTAACGTTTATTTTTTTGTTGATCATGATTTCAAAATATAATACGTCAAGGATTATTGTAAAATATTATTGTTACTCTCAGTTTTTACCTTGGGCCTTTCCTTATACTCAGTTATGTTTACTTTTTTTTAATTGAGTAAAGTTTTTGCTTATTCAGAAATTACTACTTTAATATAGCAATAATTGGTGAAAGTTTATACTTACAGAGTGTAAAATTATATGTATTCATATGGACGAATAGAAAATAGCAGTCAAATGTGCTGTAAATTTAAGTACCATCTAAATCTCAACTTTAAATCTTTATGGCGAAATCATCTTAATCATATTAAGTGCTTATTTATTCATCATGGCATACCTTAGTATTACTGATTCAGTATGATTTTATGATGATTTGGTTTACGTAAACGAATGCGCACACTTTATTGGAGGATAGTGTACCCAACCTAATTCTTCAACAACCTTACCGTAACACTAGAAAATATACCCAATTACTTTACCATAGCACCAAATTATTAAGCATGCAAATTAATGAGTTAGAAAAGAATTTTTATTGTCTGTTCTGAACCAAGCAGGTCATTGTATTTCTTGTTTGTTTAGTGAGAAGTTTTGCAATGCGATGAAGCTACACGGGAGTAAGAAAATTTTTTGTTTGGATATTCTAGTTCAGATTTATAGACGTAAACGATAAAGTTTAGAGTGCAGCAGATAGGTCGTCGTTTGTTTGGTAAACTATGATAATTCCATTGAAGTCTTGCGTTTTCTTCAAGTTTGCTTATTCGGTCTTCCTGTTTGTAAATCTATTTACTTATTCGGTCTTCCTGTTTGTGAATGTAGTATTCATTCAAGAAAATGTGCACGATAGTATTTTTAATCGTCGCGCACATAGTCTTGGATGTTACATCATCGTCGATATTAGGTTGTGATTTATAAATAATACAGTGTAATATGACGCCAAAGGTAGTGCATGATTAGTGAGTAGATCTCCACGATTACAAATTAAGAAATTTTGATGTTAAGATGTTTTAAGACAGAAGTCTTATGATAAATCATTAGTTCGATTACCGAGTTTGTAATAGTGTGTAAACATAAGTTAAATAAGAGCATTTTAGTTCGGAAGCGTTTAATGTTACGACGACCTTTAAGATGGACTGGAAAAAAAATGGACTTTAGAAAATGTTACTGTCAAAAGATTGGAAAAGATACAAGTATTGCGGCTTCAAATCGAGAAGTTTGGGATGATCCATGGCAGGCAGTAGAATCAAAAAGTAATATTTCTTTTTTTAATACTGCTGAATATACCGTCAAAAGCTATGTCCTTTATTTGAATTAAATTAGTCGAAATGTCATGCTTACTTGGTTATCTTTGTTTTTTTATTCCTCATATAATTGGCATTAGTGTTAGAGTATAGTTGCCGAAGATTAATCAGTCATTAGCTACGATTTAAATTGTAAAAGATTTTCTCAGAGCACACGAAAACTGGAGCAGTTGAAATTGCAATTAACTGGAAATATGTTCAAAAACTATTACCTCGAAAATTGATACCTGATGTACCAAAACATGAGACATATCCTACACCTAGTGGTTGGAGACCGCCGAAACGTTTGTTTTTATTTTATTTTAAAAGAGCTGGAGTGTTAATGTATTTTATTTTAGATGTACCGAAATGTGATAGTGTTTAAATAACAGTAGTTTGTTTTCAAAAACTGACTAGTAAAGTTTTGCATGAGATGGAATTTTTCGAATCGTGAAAATAAGTTGATTATATTAAATTTCAATCCATTCACTACTTTATTTTAGGTACTGAAAAAATAACATGCTTTTTAGCTCAACCGAATCTTACGTTTTATGTGGAACGAAATCGTTATCACTTATTACCTCTGTATTTGGAAACTAGAAGAGATCAGCTGGATACCAAAACATTAGAATTTGAATACGTTGAATTGGTGTCAGTACGAAACATCCACGGCGACATTTTTGTACGGTATTTTTACTGTACATTTTTTTGTCATGAAAGCAACGTTCAGAAGCAGCTTCCTAAAATTTGCTAGAAAAATTGGAAAAAAATTATTAATAAATTTTTTTAATTATTCGTGATCGGTATATTTAAACTTGTATTGATATCATCTTTAATAATTAATGGAATCTTTGCGTAAGAAACGTTACCTTTTACTAGTTGTAAAAAAGTTCATATAACTGATTAATATCATGAAAAGACTTGATATTTTCTATAACATATAATTTATTGTTACAGAAGTTTAATTCATACAAAGAAGAAAAGAAAGTTGTTGACTTCATGTAGAATAACTTAAAAATAGAATTTTGCATTAAGGAGTGTGAAAAAAAGATGCGAGAATATTTGGAAGAACGATTACAGCATCCCATCGCAACTCATGTTGATGAATTGAAAGGTTGTATCAAAATAAAAGGCGCTGACAGAGCTGTTGTTGAGCAATGTCTATATGATTTTGGTTTTTGAAGTTTTTGGTTTCTAAATGTAGAAGTAATAATAATTTCATTTATTAAGACAAAGAATAAAGGATTTTGCAGTCACATGTGCGTGAAACAGATAAATCATCACATTGAAAATATTTGATGGGTGTCTCAAAAATATAATTTGTTTTTATACTCGTTATTACTGGTTGGCATATTATTTTCTCATAACTTTACTCCTGTTGTTTTTGCTAGTAAATGTTCACAGTTACTCTTGTGATGTAACAATTGTTTATTATAAGAACACTATTTTTAGAAATGATCATTCATCATTAAACGATTGTAACTGGTTCATGTGTCAAATTTCCACGTTGAATTCATTTAATATACTTAGTATAGTATTTACTGGAATATATTTGTTTTTCTAACGTATTTGGCAATGAGGAGGTCATTGTTCGTGAACTTTAGGGACAGCAATTATTACTTTTCGTTCATTTCCGCTCTCTATTACCAAAATATTATCTATGTTATATATGCCAGAAAACTAAGCTTTTATAAAAATGTGCTGCACTTCTGCATCATAACTACATAAAAGCTTTTACTAGCGTAAATCAATTTTTACACTTAATACCAGTTATTAAATGTGTGGTAAAATTTGAATGTTAATAAGTTGCATTTGGTATTCATGTGGTTATTAATAAGATAGGTTATATTTCGCTATTTTTATCACACATAACTGCACTTGTTTGTATTAGAGATTGCATAAATTTTTTACATTTTTGGAGTTGTGGTTAGTAATTATGGTAAGGAAGAGAAAAGAATGTGAGTGAAGTTGGTTTATTATTTAAATATTTTTTCGGAACTAATTTTTAAGCCAGTATGAAAGCAAGATATTTTATTCTCGTCTTTTTCGTTAACAATTTCCTGTTTTTCTTCATGTTAAAGAAAATATTACTGAAATTGATATCAAAGCCTCTAGAAAGTATTTCTGATATAATCTAGTTAGTTTGGTTTCTAGAGTATTAAATATTTTGTGTATGTCTCATTAGTTTGTGTATACAGCATAGTTCTTGTTAATGTAATAGTTTCAGGTTTCTCGTAGTCCTATTCGTATTTGTATATTTTTTTTATTTGTTCAAATTTTCAATGAGTAATAACAAAAAGTGGTGGAATCCTTCTGATGAATTACCACCGCCATCGATGCGAGACAAATATATTCCTAATCCTTTACAAAAATTTTCATCTCATAAGCATGAATCCAACAGTGATTTAAGAAATTCTAAAGTATGTGGAAATCAAAATCATTCTTTGGCATTAAAAAGTATGGAAGAACGAGCACGAAGGTTGCGAATGAATGCAGAAGGTTAGAAATTCAGGTTTCTTCACGTTATTTTGTATGGCTTTTTGTTGTAAACAGTACAAGTGTTTCTCCTCTAATCCTAGTTTCTAAAATTGTATTGCTTCAAATACGGCATAGATCAGGTATGCATAAAAAGAAACGAGTACTTTTATATTACATCCTTAAGTTATGTAGTTTTTTGGTTTCGAATAGCAAGCAAAATTTTCTGTTTTGTAAGATAGTAAGCAATAAGTAGATTATTTACAGATAAGAATATACCTTCAGTTACTAATATAGAAGAACGACTTGCAAAGCTACGTGGTGTTTCGGTAGAAGATATCAGACATCCCAGGGTTTGTAAAAAAAAATGTAATTGCAGTGTATATAGTTGAGGCCTGATTTCTAAAATGCAAGTTTGGTTAAAGCTACTTATTTTTTGATCTAGATTTGAATAAGTTGAATTAAACTACATACATTGCAATTACCTAATTAGCAGAAATTTTAGGTTTTTGTTTTGGACCAAAATAAGTATCAAGAAGATGAAGTTGAGAACTTGATGAGACAAGCAAAAGATAACGCCAAAATAGATAAGAAGTGGAGTCAAGATCTTGAAAGTACAAAATATTCATATGGTACTGAAGAGAAAAACTCGTTGAATACAAGCATGACTAAATTTTCCTATGATATATTCAAATTTTTTGCCACTCTATTTTCATGAGTTAAGAAACATTTTATCAGTTTCAGTTAGAAGTTACTTGGTTATTCCATCGATTTATATTATGAGAGCAACAGCATTAAGTCATGAAATGCTATTTTGATATTTATTTATGTGCTTGCACTGAAAAATATTTCATTTATGTAAATAAATAATCACAAATATGTGTTCATTTCAAATGAATGAGTATAAAAAGATATGTATAGTGGAATGACATATTTATATTCGTGTAAAATATTAACACTCGTATATAGGCAGTCGAGCTATAGTTTGTTTCAGATTTAAGCAGTATACCATCGACATCCAATGCAGACATATTAATAGATAGCGACACGATTGGAAATTTAAGGGATTTGCATCAAACATTAAAGTTAGCTAAACAACAAAGCATAGAAGCGGCTGATTTGATCGATGCGAGTACTAATGATAAATCAGTGGACGAGGAGATTGAAAAATTACTAAAGCAGAGTATGCTTCACTATTATTTCTCAGGCTTTCCACAGAAAAATATATCTTACTTAATAATGATGAAAAAATTAGAAAATTATGTAAAGGAATACTTATCATTTTCATGTGTAATGTAATATTAGTGATTAAAAAGTGCAAATACTATGATACACCAAGCTTTTATTGTTTTTCTTGCTTGAATAAAAAATCATTTCAGCCAAACAAAACTCTGTGAAATCGAAGAAAATAAATAAGGAATTTAACAAATTTTTTGAACAAAGATTACAACGCGAAATATCTCATGAGTCAAGTTCGGAAAGTGAAAATTCATCTGATAGTGCTGAAATTGATGACAAAATGACAAAAGTACATACATTCTTCTTACCTTTGCAAATTGGTCGATTATTTAAAAAAGTTTTTTATTTTAAATTTGTATTAGCTTTGCTTTTGATGTGAGTTATATCACATTAACTATCATGATTTTGGATAGTTATTAATCTGTTCCATTTGTAGATCTTCAACAGAAATGGTCATTATAGTTCATAATAAGCAAATTGTAATATTCTCTATTATAGACATGAATGAATTTATTTTTTGCGTTACAGAACACTAACAGTTATAAATGAAAAATAGCCATAACAAATCTACCTTTTTATTTTTAGATTATACTGCAAGCGCAACAGGCAAAAAAAGTGAAGAAAAACCAGAAAAAAGATGCAAAGAAGAGTAATGTACTCTCAAAAATATTTCATTTCTGACTAATTAATGCACTTTGCATTTCGAGAAACTTTACTGTATGAAAACGATGAATTCTACAAAACGAACAAAAATTAGGTAATACTTTAATTTTATAATAATGATAAAGAATGCAGAAACCAGAATACGAGCTGGGGTCAGCACATGTTATGAATGATTTTAGTTCATTATTCAAAGCCAATTTTCGAAACATAAATAAATGTTAATATTTCGCTTGATTAAGTGGGTGTTTGTTCCTTACAAAATTTCTACTCAAGAGATAGTGCTATTTAAAGTAACACGAATATGAATTATTTTAATTTCAGATTTCAAGGCTTGCGATTTTTGCAACCAAACTATATATCAATTTTTTTTGCAAAATATATGAAATATCAAATCCGAATGTATGTTTATTTTGACTATAATTCTAGTTTACTGTCAAACTCATTATCTGTTATCGATTAAATCTACTTTTCGCTTAATTTTTATATAAATGAAGCATCTTGTTTAGTAGACTACATTTTATAACCTGATGTATTTATTGGTTATGAATAAACTTTCGGTTATTGACTAATTAAAATGCTTACCTCAAATCAACAAACTGGTATTTCAAATAACGAATGGTATAAAGGCCTTCCGATCCTTTGGATAATTATAGAAATGTTCATGATACCATCTAAAATGAATCCGAAGGAAATTTAGCGGTAACTGTATTCTTTGCATCGTAAGAGTCATAATTTTTCTGCAACCTTAGAGTAAAAGGAAGTAATAGTTTATTTATAACTAGGAAAAATTATAAAAAGAGAAAATTTACGTGTGATGTTGATAGGCTCGTGGTGCAAGATTGCAAAGTGTAAAAAATGCAAACGCAAAAGCTGGTAACGTGCGCGCAAATATTGCATAGCCGATCCATTCTACACATTCTCCGAAAAAGTTAGCTCCAGATATGTAGTTGAACAAACCACCATATGGGATTTTATATCCTCTATTTCCATCTTTACGTAAATTTCGTAGGAGAGAATCGGACTTAATATTTATTGTCATTCCAGTAAAGAATACCAATACACCTGTTAATTTCACTTCACATAAAAGTGTGTCTATTACTGAAATATACATCAAACTAGCTTATGTTTTTAATTATACATTATTTATTTTCGAATAAAATTAATCGGAAATCAGGAAAATAGATACTTACCAATGACACACAATAACGTATCCTTCAGTGACATAGCGTGCAGTAAAATGTGCTGGGAATGCCATGCGCCTTGCATATATCCATTAATTAGGCAGAAAATAAAGCTTAACAAAAAGATATGCAAAGGAGTACTTTGGACACTTTTTATCAAAAAAGGATAAATAAGGGCTCTGCAATTCAAATTAAGATGTTAGCAAATAGCTGTTGCACATTTTAATGAACACTATGACATTTGCTAAAAACTTCGGATTTATGCATTTATTTACATCAAATCTGGTATTAACTTCAAAGATACTCAACAATCTTAAAAAATGTAAAATGAATGAATAGAATTGAAAACCTGTTTAAGTAATGCAAACAAAATACAACCAGGATAAGCGTACTTGTGAAAGTCAAATTAATAAAATTGACAAATAAAAAATATAATGGAATGCACAATGATGGCAACTCTTGTATGAACCATGCCCATTTTGACGATAACGAAGGTACCTGAATAAGCTGTAAATCATTGAAAATGTATGATAATTGACTTCTTTTATCAGACAGAATACATTCTTAAAGCCGAATCACAATTATATTTTCAATCTAAAAAAATAATCATACTTTGTAAATATTTGATCAAAATTGCAAGAGCATTTTTTTTACTAACACGTCATATAATTCAAGATTTTATAATCAAAAAATTGTGCACAATTAGCATTACTTTGTAGACATAAACTGACTTAAGAATACTATTGTTTAAGTTCAGAGTTCAATTTAAAAAAAATTTGAATGCAAAATAAATGAACGTTAATGTAAAAATTTTGATACTTCTTATTGTAATATAGTAGTCACATAGAAACAACTGCGCTGTGTACTTAATATTCTCAGTTAAACTTTAGACTCGTATATAACATCTGATGTCTTAAATCTTGACAGCAAATATTCCTAAAGAAACTATTAAAAGAATAATATTACACTACATTTTTAGATTCAGTTTTCCATATTTAAGAATATAAAGTTATTCATATGCAGAATAATATAATAATTGTATGTAATAATTTTATCAAGTTAAAATAATAACCTACAACCATACTAGGTTCTTATCCTGGCTTAAGCCTCACTAACATTTTTACGTATTTATTAATTTGTCAGTTTACTTATTTTTTGTCAACTTTATTATCTAATTTTTCCTAAGTTGTAATAAACAAAGTATATAAAAAATCTCTATAAATGATTTCGTTTCTGATAATTTAAGAACCTAGTATGGTTCTAGGTTATTATTTTAATTTGATAAAATTATTGAAAAGTTTGGTACTAGAAAAGTAATTAAACTCAATAAAATGAAACTAATTCTTCAAATTCTATCAAACTAGAACTTTTTCGAGTAAAATGTAAAAAAGTATCAATTTCAGCAAACAACGAGCAAAATTTCCTTTGACGTTCTTAATAAGTATCAACTTCAGGTCAAGCTACGACATTACCGTAGTTATGAGATTTAAGACAACTTTGGGGTTGCTCTCTGAAGTAATACTAATATTCACTGAAACAATATTTTGTATTTTTACAAAAGTTAAACAATTAATTATAGATAATTTTGTACATTAAAAAAAAAAATTTATGAAAAAGTTAACCTTTAGCGTTGAATAGTGAGAGTAACGTCCATATGGTGCTTTGAATCCAAAGGTAAGTGCTAGAAAGACAAATATACCACTGATAAGCATAGAATAAGATAACGTCTCAATTATTCTATCCATCTTGCGCATATATTTTCTCTGAAAAAAACACGGATTAGATTCATGGATTGAGGATGAAATTAATAATAATTCAGAGTACGATTATTAAAAAAATAATTTTTTACTAATAATTTAGTATCCGTTTATTAAATCCATATTATTAAATCTATGACATTTTTCACGTATTGGATACTTACACATTACTTTCTTCATTATATGCCTAATATAATGCATTTTTATATTCAACGAATTACTCCAAAATTAAAAAAATTCTTTTCATAACTTAAATCATATTTTATTCCAACCAAATAATGACATCACGTTGAAACACGTCCTATACTTAACTTATACCATAACAAGAAAGATTTGCAATAGACTATAAAAATTAATAAACAGACTAGATTAAGCCAAGTTTCAAATGTGCTTCTATCAATGTTATCTTTTATGATTGAAAAAAATTGACTTACGAGGGCCAAAGAAACACTGGAAACAGAATAACACCGAATCTGTTACCAATCTAAGTAATATCTAATCACGTCGTTATATCTAATCGCAAGTTCGTAAAATTATCATACAACTTTTTTAGTGTTATATCTGCATAAGAAAGAGCATGGCACACGCTTTTTTCATTATGTTACCCGTAAGAAGTCAACAATCTCAGCAAAGCATCTGGATTATGCAGTCTTAAGTATGTAATTGCAACCCTTTTACTTATTTTTTGTGCATATTTTGTGTTATTAGCGTAGAAATAGTTTTATTCTCCGTTTGTTTTATTTCGCAATTTACGTCCCTTTTGTTTTATTTCGCAATTTACGTCCCTTTTGTTTTATTTCACAATTTACGTCCTTTTTGTTTTATTTCGCAATTTACGTCCCTTTTGTTTTATTTCGCAACTTACGTCTCTTTTGTTTTATTTCGCAACTTACATCTCCTTCGCTTTCAATGCTACCTATTAGCTATAATTAATTTCTGATGAATTTTTTATCACATTTTACCAAAAACTTGCAAAGTAATGTTTAGAAGACTAGAATAAAAATAATTGGATTGCAATAATTTTTATTTAATTAATTAAAAAGCTTTTCAAGAATGCTAGTCGCAGGTGGATTTTTAATTTAATTTTCATAATTTGCTGTTGAATTATTTGATACATATAGTTTCCATTTAATTTCATTCCTTTTTTCATTAAATATGTTAATATAAGCTTTTTAGTATTCGTAATAGGAAATTGAAAAATTATATAAAATCTGAGGAATAAATTTCAGGAAGCAATTCGGATATTTTTGGTTCAGACGAGAATTCTGGAACATTAGTCGATTTATCAAAATATTTTTAGCTTTTTTTCAGCTCTGTTTTATTTCAGTATCAGTTTCAATGACGGACAAGGTTATCTTTTAATTTAATTATTAATTATAAGAGTGGTTCATAGATCCATAATTTGTTAATTTTTGTATAAGAGTAGTGGTTAAAAATTGTTTATAAATAACATGTTTATTTTAGAAAACTAATTTCTTTCATATATTGCATTAATATATGGCGGTACTTCTAATTACAGATTTCACACATAACAGTTGCATTAGAACGATTGGAACAACAGTATTTGGAACATAAAAACAAGTTCGAAAAGTGGAAGTTCAATAATATGTACGTCTTTTTACTTTAATAACTGCTTTATATGGTAATACTTTATTATTAAGGAATAATTGAATCTGAGAGTAAAAAAAGGACTAGTTTTATTGTTTTATAAATTCTTAGTGCACAGTGTGGAACGGAAACATACAACAAATATGTGGAAAAGTTCAATGAGTGGGAGAAAGGTGTCAAGGAACAAGAAAGAAGGTTAATCAAAGAGCGAAATAGTTTAATCGCTCCTCAAGATCTAGACACTACTTTGGGTAAATTCACTGAATTAGAAGTTGCAGTAGCTTAATACTTTCATGTATGTTTTTGAGATAAACTGCACCATGGACTGATATTTTTTTAATCATGTTAAATATTGGCAGTCATTACTTTTTGTGTTAGTTTGTCTTTTGTTATTATTACTGATTAGAAATTAGTTAACATCAACCAGTTACATGCATTTGGTTTTAATGCTCAGATGGTTTATTGGCTCAAATATCACTGAAAGACTTCATTTTGGCCGTAGTAATGATGACAAGCAAGGATACAACATTCTTTCCAGCACTACTTTCTGCTTTGCAGAAGGTTCAAGCATATGGTGAGACAGATTTTTGCTACATCTTGAAAAAGATTAAGATCACTGGAAATAAATAATGTAGTTGAAAATTTATTCTTTCTAGTTATCTGCAAATTTCCTAGTTTCTGAAAATTAACTTCCATTGATGTTCATTAATATTATCTATAGTGTACCTTGCAAACAGTTTTTTAATGATGTTGCATTGTAATTTTACTAATTTTCTTTTTAAAAATCATGTGATAGAATTGAATTATAGGTGAAGCTCGGCAGGCGAGCATATATCAAGCTTATGCAGCATCTGCAGCAACTTTCGGGGCATCAAGTAGTCAACAGTATCCTTCTCAAATCCACTATTCCGGTACTAAACCATTATGAACGTTGTTTTGTATACCTTTTTGAGTGTACTTATTATTTTTCAACACTTTTTCTTCTTTTCGTTCATTTTATCGGGCAATAGTTATGAGGTCATACTTTACGCATAATTTTAGGAAATACTCTACATCCGTATAGTGCACTGCAGTCAGATGTTATACTTGAAAGAACCAAACGGCCATATGATGGAATGCATAACATGAATAAAAGTGATGAGCATGGAACAAACCGGAGTTATCGAGCCCCTTCTCCTGTTCGTGATTATCGAAATCCATCATTACCTTTCCGTGACTTTAGTCAAACATGACCTCAATAGTTGTTCTTATCAAATTTGTTTATTTTCAGTTTTAAAAAATTGTAACTTAAACAATCAGGAGCTTGATGTTAGAATAGTTCTATGATATGGTTTCCTGGCATGGAAATTTGTTGCTGATTACTTGTTTTTTGTTCTTCTATTGATAATCTGTCAAGATATTAGAATTTTTTAGATTAGCATTGTACAGTTATGTTTTTCTCCTGTACTTGATCATTTGTTTGCTGATTTCTTTGTTCTTGGTGCATAATATGTGGTGACATTTATATAGTCTATATATTTAAATTGTTTAATATTAATCAAGAAAAATATTGTTTTACTAAAAAAATAATCAAGAAAACATTTAGGATGATTTTCAAAGAATTGAAGCATTACAATGGCTTACTGCCAGGGACGTTCCATTTTATTTATCTTGGATTTTTTTTCACAAAGCTTTTATATGACGTGGTGATGTAGGGATTTTGTTACATGCCTTTAATTGAAAACTTTTATGGGACTTAGGTTGTGTTGTGTTTGAATATTTAGCAAGTATGGATACATCGTAATAATTAGCAGTAACGATTATACATAGGTATATGTGTTGTGGAATTAAAGCATGTGCATGCTTCGAAATATGCTCTTGGTTTTGTCCATATCATGGGGTTGCATTAATTTGATAATGGTGTAGTGATCAGAAGACCAAGAATGCAAGTCATTTTCATCGTAATGACGAGGAGAATACCGTGTTAACCTGAAATTATGAATGCACTACTGAGTATCATAAAGGTATGAGATTTCAGTCTCGTTATTTGTTAAAATTCAATAAGTCTTTCAGCTCATTGGATTTCTGGATGGCGTCATTGTGGATTCACTGCAATATTTGCTACTTAACTGTTTTTGACCAGAAAAGTGCAGAGCGGAAATCTTTTGCGATTGCTTGTTGTGGGCATCTGTTTTGTTCTATTTGTTTAGGTAAATGTGGTAAGTTATTTTCGTACTGTTTTGTATTGTAAGTTAGGAAGTTGCAGATGACAAAAGTTAAACACTTTTTTGTCAGTTTATTTGTATGAGGTCGACATGATCAGATTTATAAAAAATATTCAAGGAGCACGAACTCTTGTATTTTGCTTCATTTTTGGTAATATTTACTCTCTTATTGATATCAGAAGATTGTAAGTTTTCTACGTTCATCAGCAAAATGGCCTCTATTTTCTCGATTTGCTGTAGAAATATTTGGTTAGTTTTGTACTAAGATCAGAGCTAAGAATGAAGTATGAAAGAAAAACTTGTTAGTGGTGAGTATATGTGTGAAATATAAAGTACTTCGTTTCTGTTGAGTCCGTTTGTGATGGTTGTTGCAGTATCAGAAAAGAAATGTTTGGTTTGTCGACGTTCACCTTTTACATATGAAAACGTTGGTGACAGCATGAGTGAAAAAACGAAAAAATATTTCCAGGTGTGTAATTGAAAATTCTGTAAAATGCCATGCAAAACACTAGATAAGTATTGGATTTTCATTTCGCTGATCGCAAATATATGCATTTTAATAATGGATGCACATATCAGTTTGTGATTTCAGACACCTTATGCCTTAATAGTAAATGCCTTACGAAAAGTGGAATCGGTCATCAAATTTCAACAAAACCAATACAGTATTATGCGAAAGAATGTGAATAGTATGGTGAGATCTAGTGTTGTACCTCTTAATCTGTAAAAGTAATAAATACTGCAAAAAGAAGGAGTGCTTATATAAATGATAGCTTGGATAAGTTGTAATATTACTCTGTAGAAATACGACAGTTACTTACATTATTGTGCTTAAAAAAGTCGTGTGTTGTTAAAGTATCACTCATTTCGAATTAATGTTTGGTAACATTTGGAAAGCGTGACATGAAATGAAATTATAAAAAAAAATCAACCAACGATAAGCATATATTTTCGTGAAATTTTGACAGAAAAATTTTTTGGTGATTTGAAAGCAAAATGAACACAATTTGAAACTTGAAAAAAAATATTTTTGATAAACAAAAATGTTTTGAATAATGTTTCAGTAGGTTTCTTGTGTAATCACTAGCGTTAAAAAAATGCATTCGTTTTCATATTGTATTTGTCACTTTTAGCGAAACGAAATAGTTAGTATTGCTGATCGATGTCGAGAAACCGAAAAGATCTGTGAAGTTTTAAGAACGTTAGTTCTTGGTTTATTTCAGAAGATGTATGTCGTTAAAAAACTCTACCTTTCATGTTTTTATTAATAATCTTCATCATGAAGGTTGTGAATACATATATATTGCTAGGCTTCTTTGGCATTAAATTTTTTTGGTCTTTCATTCAAAATTTATGGATAAACGAGTATTTATCCATAAATTTTGAATGAATTAATTTTACCTTTATTGGATTGGAGGAAATAAGTGCTTTACTCTGTAGTTATAAATGTTTTATAGAAATGCCAGTTCTTTAATGGTTGGTATACAACAACAATGTGAATTACTGCAGCACTTAAATCCTCATCCAATACATGGCGCACAAATGGAGAATATGGCAAACATTAGTACAGTTAGCAGCATGTCAGGTTGTGTTTTAAAATTGAGTCTATGATTTAAAAAATTAGGTGGCTCATATGAGAATAAAGAGAATTTTTTGACTTCTGTATTCTTTTAAACCAAAAAATAAAAGTTTTGAATTCTCATTACAGGATCAATAAATCTTCAATGGGACCCCGTTCTGGTATTATTTCGTCTTTTATTATTCATTCATAATCAAACTTGATTGTTTTTTGTGATTTCGAATGCAAGAGGAGTTTTTATCATGAAGGACGGCGATGAGTATTAGCTGGGCATCGAAGTTGCCTTTAAAGAGAGTATTTTGAAGTTATCGCTCCTATATTTGACGAAGGAAATTGTACAGAACAATTATTTCAAAGAACGAAAGGGGTGAAAGGAGCACATGTAAATTGCGGAACAAATATGTATTTGATTATTTAGCAATCGATAAAGTAAACTTCCAAATGTTGTTTAACATCGATTAATTTTTTTCAAAAAAAAATCCATGCTTAATAAAGCTTTCATCAGTGGGCTCATCACTTCCAGTTACAGACTATTCGCTAGGTAAAAGTTATCTTATTTACTTAAATATTATTTCACAAAGGAATTATTGATAAAATAATAAAATATTGATAAAATTTTAAAGTATTTTAGGAACGACAGTCTGAAACTTTGTCGAATTTGGATCCAGCACGTACTAAACCTTCAGGGTTGAAATGTGCTACCAGATTTAATAATGATCATTCTCTGCAGCACTCCGAAGCAGTGTTGTCTGGAAGTTTAGAGACTATTTTTGCTAATGCAAATGACAATAATAAAAAGATAAAGTAGGTATTTGTTTTGCAAAGGTTTTTTCGCATATTTTAAATAAATTAAAAGGTTGCAATGATATTTTTTACTGTTACAGTGAGCCTTTAAATTCATCAGATTGCTGTTTCACCTATTTTTTAGACAATTTAAGATATGATTTCATGGAGCTAAATATTTTATTTCATTTATTTCTCTATTAATTAAAAGTAAGATATGAAATATTAGTAAAATAGTTCTCAAATTTTGATTTTTTGTATGAAAAATGCATAGGCCGAAATTTTTTGTGATAGGTGAGAGTAGATTTAGTATCACTTTATGATGAAATTGTTGTGCATTATTTTATTTTAGGACTAGTGCATCAGTGTATTTGGAATTGCAAAAACAATCAGCAAATAGTGTTGTCAGTATAGAGAAGAGTCTGTCTGTTTAACCATGAGTTTTTTAGACCTCCGATCTGTAACAATCCATACTTGGATCATATCTCACGAAAACGTAGTCAAACTTTGATAGCAGCACAAAACGGTGGAGATGACTTCATTACGCAGCAGCACTTAGACAATAAAAGGAGCTTAAAAGTTCCGAAGGAAATCCAGTTTTCTCGAAGTTTATCAAGGATAGAACCAAACTCACATAATTCATCTACCTTAAGTGACAATCCGCGCATACAATTTCTCAGAAATAATCATCGTTTTTAAAGAAAAATATTTGAAATTTTTATTCATGTTTGTATATGAGTTTTATTTCGTAAATACCGATGCGTTACACGTTCCTACCATAATACACAAGTTTAGAAGATTTTCTAAGATTTTACTTGAGTAGCTTTTGTGCCTTATATGTCGTTTTCATCCATCTTCATTGTTTGTGTTTAAATTAGTAGTAGTAATCAATGCAGTGGCTAGAGTGCATGCTGTAGCAAGAACTACGGAACTATGGTTATTATTTGCAAGAGCTAAAATAATTTTCTGAATAAATTACTTTTGTTTTTCATTTTTCTTTTTTACTCCTGGACAGTAGTTGCTGTCATCGGTTTCTGGAACATTAATGCATTTAACGAGGTTGTGTACTTCATCAAATTGCGTAGAGTTATTTGTGTACTTTTCGGATGTCATTAAATTTTAAACTAATATCACTGAATGCCAAATCATCACCTACGTCTGGCTGATTAGCTCTTTAAACTTACTTCATTTTCTCTTATATCATAATGATGAAGACTAGGAAACAGGCACTTTTCCAGTGCTTAGTCTTATTTTTCTTAGCGAAGAGAGTCCAACTTAATTCTAATTAAGTGAAAAAGTTTCAGGCCATTATTGAAATTATTAGCATAATGTGATTATAATAAGAGAGAGCATGAGTAAAAAGTTGATCAAAGATCTCATGTAATGTTGGTTTTACACTTCAATTCTGACTCAAATAATTATTGAGTACTGATATTTTGTCTGGGAAATAGAAATTGCGGTCCAAGATTATATTACATTTCTATCTACAGATGAAGATGCAACAATACTAATTCGGGGCGCATCTTGCACTACTTCAGTCACATTTAAATAATGGAATACATTTTGTTTCTGCAGCACTGACGATATTGTGTTTTTATAAGAGGTACTTTGATTTACTATATTATTTGTGTTCTTCAGTTATTTCGAATCAGAAGTATTATATTGAAGTATATTAAATGTGTTGAATTATGTGATCGATATATCGAATTGTTTGATCGGATCAGCTGCTTAGAGTTGTAAAACACACTTAGTGAACATTTACATAATTTGATTTCACACTGAAGAAAGAAAGCTAGAAATCTTATAAATATTTTATGTGTTCTCAATTTGTAAAATTATGGTAAAACGATTTTTTAATGAAAAATGTATTAGAATTTAATTTTTTGAATATTCTTAATATGTGTAATTTTATCAGAGATGATTACTGTGTTGTAGTAATCATATCCATTTATCAATGCAGAAATGACAAAAATATCTGGAATTAAATACAGTATTATTTATAAAAAACTATTTAAAAAGTTAGAAACAATATTTTATTTTATTTCCTTTTGAAATATAATTACCGTCATTCATTAGTTTTCAATTTATAAGTGTTTTTCGCTAAGTGTTTTCTAATCGTTCTAGATCAATCCTTGACACACATTTCTACAGTGAATTATATTTACTACCAAGACTTGACTTGGGAAATTCAAATATCCAGGAATATCGGGTTTAATTTTTGTATTAGAACATTGTAAAAAGAAATTTGCATTGCTAATTAAATATTATTTTTATTAGAAGATCAAGCAAATCTTCTATAGATTTAATTTACTTTGTTTATGCAGACTAGTTAATTAATTAATTATTTTAGGCATTACAATATGGGCTTACCAAGTTTGAGAGGATTATTATTCTGGTTATTGTTATTTGTTTCATCGTTTTTGGGATGCGTATTTATGCTCTTTCCATTTGTACCGTTTGTTTATTTTGCTCCATCATTGTGGAGAATTTGTGCTGATTACTTTGTTGGTTATTGGTTAACATTTCCAGCAGTGAGTTTGAAAATTTTAATATTTGTACACAAAAAAACTGGAATCTTAAAAAGACACGTTTCTGATTCTTACGTAAATACTTTATAAATGTAAATTAAAAAAAAAATACATTTATTCATTAATATTTATGCTAATTTTCACAGGCTTTGTGTGAATGTATTTTCGGGATTAAATTTGAAATCACTGGAGATTTGATCAATAGTTCGGAACCGGCGCTAATCATTATGAACCACAGAACAAGACTTGACTGGTTATTCTTTTGGAATGCACTGTATAGACTGGATCCATGGTTACTTACAACAAAAAAAATATCATTAAAAAATTCACTAAAATATATTCCAGGCGCAGGTTTTTTTTTGCCTCCAATATTTCTTCATTTATAGGATAATAATTTTTTTTAGAAAAAGTTTTTAAAAGTTTATATTAAATAATCATTTCAGTACATTAGTAATGATTTTTGTTTTACTTTTTCAATTCAAATGTGATTTGAATAAAGATTTCATTGTATTTTATTCAGGATGGGCAATGCAATGTGCAGCTTACTTATTTTTGCAACGTCATCATAGAATTGATATCAACGCAATGCGTGAGATGATTACTTACTACAAGGATTCAAAGCGTAATTATCAAGTTAGTTATTAGACTTTTTTAATATCAAAATACCATATACAACTTTCTTTTAAGATTCTTTTCAGATATTACTATTTCCAGAAGGGACAGATCGTGGAAAACGAGCAATAAAACGCAGTGATGATTTTGCAGAACTTCACAATTTACCGAAATATCAATTTGTTCTGCACCCACGTACAACAGGTTTTGTATCCCTAGTGCAGTTTATGCGAGAAAGTAAGTAGTCTGTTTCATTTAAATATTATTATTACTTTATTATTACTGTTTGTATTATTATGTATTATTATTATTATTACTACTATTATTATTTTTGTTTTTAATCATTTATTAAAAATAAGCATTTTTTTAGATAATTGAAATATTGTAATTAATCATTTTTCAAAACCATTTTTGTAAAATCATTTTGTGGATGATTCAATGTAGCATTTTTGACGATAAAGTGAATTGAAAGAAAAAAAATGAGTATATAACAGTATTTCACGGAATTATTTATCATTGAAATACTTTGACACTAGCAAGTTCTTATATGTTTCTGATTTTTTTAATCTCACTCAGTCTTGATATTTTGATTTAGAGAATTATATAAAGAATATTTACGATGTGACGGTTGGATATCCGGATGAAATAGTCAGTACAGAGTTCGAAGTACTCATTTATGGACGTCTACCGAATTCTGTACATTTTAATGTAAAACAATACAAAGAAAATGACTTACCTAAAAGTGATCGTGATTTAGCCGAATGGATTAATGCAATTTGGAAAGAGAAAGAAATTCGGCTAGAAAAATTTTATAAATCTGATAGTGAAGAGCGAAAATTCTTCGCTTTTGGAAAACACAACATCTGGACAGTTAGTTTTTTTTCTTTTACTTTAATTTTTGAAGCGTTAAATATTAATATTATAATTTTTATTTTTGTATTTTTATCATTTTTTATTTTTCATACTTCATCTATTTCAAAAATAAATTCAAAATTTGTTATGGTTAGTTTGGTAAATGTATGCTTAGTCGTGCATATGATATGTGCAGTAAAAGTTGCAAGTTCGAAGTTCACGCACTTTTTGCACATATTATTACAATCACTAAGAAATTACAAATAATATTTTTACGTAAAAAGTAAATTTGTTTACAATTTTGTTATTTGTATTTTTGATACTTTTTCATTGAAGAAAACTTATTTTGCGTCACTTCAAAAATCTATAAATGAAGCTAACATTTTTTATTTTTAAATTGTATTAAATTCATATTTTAGAAGTTCTCAGCAGATACTGGTTATTATTGTGCGCTAGCATTCTGGCTGGCAATATCCATAATTTGGATATACTTCATAATTTTTTACTTCACTGTCAAAATTTATGTGCTAGTGTCGTGTACATTCTTCTTCTACTGTGAAAGACGGTATGGTGGTGTTCAGAATTGGACTTTAAAATTATTGAAACAAAAACAGAAGCAATAGTGAATTGAGATACTCATTTGTAGTATTGTGAAGTTAGAGTTGAAAATAGTAACAGTATGTGAATTACTTATTTACTTTTGTACATTATTATTCGTTATAAATTTTTTTTTAGAATTATATTCATTGATAATATTGTGAGTGTTAAGTTAAGGATTACTTGACAAGTATTTTACTTCTTTTTTTAAAATTATTTAGAAATGACTAAAATTTTTTTATTGAATATTGCACAATTTGTAATATAGTAACTGGAATTTGTGAAGGTCAAGTTATCCTCCTATCAGATGCATAATATAACTACACCAAAAAGTTTGCAATTGTTGTCTTAGTCTGTACTTCTCATTTCTTGTTATATTTTTAGATTCTTACAGTACTACAAAACATCAGTATTGTTTACTGTGAAATAGATCAGTATTATTTAGATACAGACATTATTATTTATGTATAGTAAATAATACTGATATTTATGTACAAAAAGTTATTATTTACCACGAAACGGATTAGTATTATTTACTATGAAACAAAATAATATTATTTAATTTGTGCAGATTGAAATATTTGAACTGGATGTCAAATAAATTTAGAAAAGTATTGATACTATAAGATTAGTTATCTAGTATTGGACTGATTATCTAGTCTTAAGATCAGAACAAGGTAGATCAGTTTACTGCTTGAAAAATGTTTTATTGCTTTAATCGCTTTATGCAAATTATTGATCTACTTGATTAATTATTCGCTTTAGTAGAATTCCCGTTGTTTTTCTCTTGCGCATATATTTTTGTGATTGTTATGATGCATAGAAATATTTGTTTTGATTAAAACAAAGTGATATTTTCTATGTAATAGAGGTCACAAGTGAGATTTGTTTTTTCATGAGAAACATGTATAAATAAAGTTATCACTGTGCTTTTTCGCTGCTTGCATTTTTTCTGAGTCTTAAACATTACTTAGTTTATTCATATAAATTAAGCAGTAATAGCTTAATCAATTACTCAGTTTGTTCATATAAATTAAGCAATAATAACTTACTACATATTATTATTTCAAATAAATTAGTTTCCTTGAAAGCATTTATTTTTTCACAAAATTTGTCAAACTTTAGAAAGTAAGTGAGTAAGAGCGCAGTAAATTGTACTGTTTACTTTTCAAATACTGAGCTGATACCCTTTAATAAATCTGAACTTTGTATTCATATAGTTTTCTTAATTACCATTTTTACAAGTACTTAAGAAAACAATTTGATATTCATTTAATTAATTTAATAGATTATTAAAAGCAGTACAAGTGGTAGATTGAACGTAGATTTATCCTCTTGGATACTTTACTATTTCACATAATGTATTTTTTTACGAGTTATATGCAAATTTTAAATAGCTATCATTATGCTTAATACGGAATCAAGTATTAAGAAGTATTTGTAAGAGATAAAATGTGTTGAGCAGTTGTTTTTAATGACGATTACTTGATAGAGTATATTAGACTGATTATCTAGTCTTAAGATCAAAACAAGGTACGTCAATTTACTGCTTAAAAAATGTTATTTTAGATAAGTATTACTGCAAAAATATATTGTTTGAAAGAATAAAATCTAGCTTTACTTAGCACTAAATCGATTTCTACTCACTACGAGAACATTAAGTGTAAGTATACATGTATATACATGCATGCATTAGTATGTATTAAAAAAGCTTTACTCTATAAGCTAGTTATTATTTACGAGTTAGAAGTTGAATAAATATAAATTTACAGCTTTAGAAATAGGTCGAATACTTGTATTAACAAGGATAAAATCTATACTCAAGTATTTTTACATATTTTTATGAATACTATCAAGTATTTTATTTATTATTTTAAGTAGTTAAGTATCTTATACATTATTTTGAGTAATTAAGTATTTTATTTATTATTTTAAGTATAAATGAAGTAATAATTTTAATTTTTCAGTAATCAATAAACCTTTTTAAATGCATATGAAATATTATTAAATTTTTAATATTACGTGTAAGACACAAATTATAAATCGTGTTTGCATGAATTATTTATCATTACTTTGATCATGTAAATATATACACTATTATGCTTATCTTGTTTTTCTACTGTAATTAATCATTGATTACGCTGTTTATTTGGTTAAATAGTATTTATATCATTAAAATCAGAAGAATTTGGAATATGCTATAATTTTTGCCATAGAATTAGTTGACTTACCCAAAATGCTTACAGAAATAATCGTCTTATTTATCAGGCTAATTACTGGATGATTTATTTGCAGCTAAAATCTTTAACATGTGATCTATTGCTCAAAATAACTATAAAAATTAATTATCATGTTTTTATTGTTATTTATTATCATTATCAGCAACGGCTGCTGTAAATCAGTACTTTAAAAATTGAAAATAATTATAAACTTTTTGTAAATCTA